GACAAACACATCTACCAGACTCTCTCCTTGTAACTGGACTGACTGGTGTGGTGAGGTGTCGGCTTTCCTTGAGAAGGTACTTTCTGCTTTTCTTAACAGCACTCATACGAATGGTTCTTAAATATGACTGAAAAACAAATATCACACTGTTGATGTAGTTCCAAATATCAAGCCTGTCCTGGGTAAGCTTGTTTCAAGGGTAGAGACCCTGAATTTTAGTGCTGAGCCCAGCCACTCACCGGAGGTCACCAGGTTTGGAAGTAGTTGGAATGACCGTAATGCCGGGCTTAGAGGATTTGACAAGATGTATTTTACTTTAAAGATTTATTGGTATCGGCCGGCGCTGTGGCTCACTAGGCTAGTCCTCCGCCTGCTGCGCCGGCACCCTGGGTTCTAGTCCCGGTCGGAGCGCCGGATTCAGACCTGGGTGCTCTTCTTCCATTCCAGCTCCCTGCTGGTGCGCCTGAAGTCAGCGGATGATGGCCCAAGTACTTGGACCCCTGCCACCCATGTGGGAGACCAGTTTAGAGTTCCTGGCTCCTGGCTTCAGCCTGGCCTAGAAATGGCCATTGGGACCATTTGGAGAGTGAATCAGCAGATGGAAGCTCTGTCTCTCCCTCCCTCTCACTCTGCCTTTCAAATAAATTAACAAATCTTTTAGGAAAACAACAAACAAACCTCTCTTCCATTCCCTGGTATTATAGCATAGCAGGTAAAGCAGCCACTGGCATCCCAAATTGGAGCCAGCTTGAGTCCTGGCTGCTCCACTTCTGATCTAGCTTCCTGCTAATGAGCCTGGGAAAGCAGCAGATGGCCCAAATCTTGGACCCCCACCATCCATGTGGGAGACCTGGAGGAAGCTCCAGGTTCCAGACCAGCAGAGCTCTGGCCGTTGTGGCCATCTGGCGAGTGAATAAGCAGATGGAAGACCTCTCTCTCTATTACTTCCTCTCTAAATCTGCATTTCAAATAAATAAATAAAAAAAGGTGAATATGAAAGGATAGGCAGTATAGTGATGCAGGGAAAATGGGCCAAAACATGGAATGCACAAAGAATGCAAAAACTGTGGTTAGTTCAATGGTGGGAAGCTGTGGGTGCCAAGCTGTGTGGTGAGGCCTACTGAAACCAAAGCTAGTCACTGCCCTCCAGGGGCACTGGGAAGCCGCTGAGGTTTAGCACATCTTCAAATTTTCCTTTCCATGAAAAACTCATGGAGTCTCATGAGATTAGGACATAATCTTCTCAGGTATAAAGAGGCATTCTTCAGGATTCTTAATTCCTTGGCACTCAAAATACTAAAGAGCCAGTTTGGTCATCACAATACCGGTTTTCTAATCCTTGTTCTCTGCTGTTGAGAAAGATAATTTCCCTAGGCCACAATTTCCTCAAATCTAAAATAAAGGGGCCAACAAAGATCACTTCTAAAGGGCCTGATTCAATTATTCCAGTTTTCAGTTACTGTCATCCCATTTGATTTTCTCCAGAATAGTGAGAAAAGGAGAAAAACCTGTTACTAGTCCATTTAGTGAAATCCTTGCTTTAATTATTTAAATGTGCAGATCTGCCCTCTCTGCATCCCAAAGTAGAAATTTTGCACACTGGAAAAGTCATCATACATGCTTTATTCACTGAACCTTTGTTACAAAAGGTATTGTGTCTGCCTTTTTTTGAACTACCAAATACTTTTAAAAATAATTTTATTTTACAAATTATTTCTTAACATCACAGAAGAAATTAACTTGAAAAATATAACATTGTAGCAGAATAATTTGTTCATTGTACTCTTGAATGTCAGTGGGAACATTAATGACTTCATCTTTGCATTTTTGTGATGTTTGGGAAACACCAATAGTAAATGTCACTTGAATTCGTTTTCAAAAGAAACTGCATCCATAAAAGGACAAACTCCTTTCTTTCTTCTTTGGCAACTTGAGAACAAATTAAAGAACTTTTCTAAATTTAGAAGTGAAGAGCTCATGAACGCAGAAGTGTTCTTTAAGTTTTGCAATCATTGTTATGTACAGTGAGTCAAGCAAATCTCTGTTCCAGTTTCTGCTTCACCCCCAGGTTGGCTCTGTGACAGCAAAGACCACTATATCTGGCTTTGCTTTCCCTTTGAAATCCTACCATCATGGTCATGCTTTCATTGTCTGTTGCCCTTTATCAGATTGAAGGACCTTGTGTTGGAACCCCATATTCACAGTTGTGTCTCCACACCTGGTGTGTAAATTACTCAATGTTCATGGAATAAATACATGTTTTTGGTTTATCTGTACATTGCAGTGGTTGGGCTACATTTCCCTTCCTATCTTTATTTCTGTCATCTGTGTGAATTTACTTTTTAATCCAAGCCCAGTTACTTTTTTCCCTTCAGCTTAATTTCTAGCCTATTGTTCATCACTACTCCTGCCAAATCAGGACATGTTATCCTAATTCAAGTTGAAGGTAAAGCAGTACAAACACCTAGAGAACTAAGTCTACATAAGAAAAGCTTTAACAGAGTGACCTTGGCTAAGGAACCCTTCTTATACCTCTTATATGGTTTGCATGTAATCAATCAACTAAAAACCAGTATGTGTGTATGTCTGTGAGTGAAAAGGCACATCAAATTTGAGAACAATTTCTAAATGGGCAATCTGAAGATACTCTAATTTTTCTACATGGAAATGTGTAATATTGTTGGCAAACCTGCTATGGAGCCCAGGAACATAATACGACCCTACACGGTAGTCCTTTGTGCCAACACAGTTCTAGCAGCCTCAGTGAGAAGAGCCACAGTCCTGCAGTTGAGTAGAGGTACACGTTTTGAATGTTAAGTTGAAGCCTATTACAATGCATTGTCACAATGAAAATCCTTACTTTGGAATCCCACTCAATTATTTTGGAAAACATTAAATACAGCCTAACAGATACAATGAAATAACCGACAACTTTAAATGTCAGTGCTAAATGAGAATTGGATGATGCAGACAATCTCAAGGAAAGTATTTATTCTCATACTGTGCTCAACATTAGATTATATATAAAATGCAACTGGGAAAAGGAGATCAAAGAACTGTGCTTTCTCTTTTACCAAGACATGGAAAATAAGGAGATGAGGAAGGCCCAAGTGGAAGTATCAAGTTCATTGTGCTTTTTATGTATTTTCCTTGCTGTCCATTTCCAATCATAAATCTTGTATCTGTGCCTCTGGGGACTATTTTTAACTTAAGTACAACATAATAATAGGTATTCTGTAAATTTTTTCTATTACCTATAGAAAGTGTACTGAGTTAAGAACGCTATCATTTTCTTTTAGAAGAAAAGCATCAAATATCCAGGGAACTTTATTTTTAAATGATAAAACAAATAGACACAACTTTCATTTATCCACACACACATGCATAATCCAACCTGCATAGAAAATGTACTCAATTGGTAATCACACAGGAAGTACAAAGGGAATGCAATTTTACATGTGAAATGATTGCTGGCTATCGCAAATTTAACAAATTGATCAAAATGATGTACATTGAAAAAATAAAACACCTGAAAGCCAATTATCTATAACCAAGAGAAATTCTGATACGGAATGATTCGGTTCAAAGGAAAGAATAAGGCACCTGCTATGAATTTAGAGCAGTAACTTTCATTTTCAAAGGTACAATAAAATATAACTAGCTAACCACAACTTGTTTCAAAGTGGGAAACAAGTATAGGGATTGACTTACTGGGTGAGAAAGGCAGGTAAGAATTCAGTTAAAAACCTGCTGGCCCAAGGTCAGCCGATTCCTTTCCTATCCCAGAGTAGTTAAGTTCTTGTACGTCCTTAACCTCTCCAGTCCTCCATATTTGAGGGTATCAGAAGCCCTCTGAGGTTCACACTGTGTATAGACTAGGTAGATCTCCCTTCTGTTCCTCTTAAAACAGCTTATTTTCAAAGAGATATCCTGAGGCAATTAACAAAGCAAACTGAGCAGCTTTCATCCACTCATTAATACACAGACACTGCTCATGCTTTTTCAACAACTTATGGGCTAAGTGCATAAACAGCCAATACCTGTAGTTTTCACAAGCACTAAAAAACCCAAAACCTGCCTCACCACTCTCACCCTGACCATTAGTAAAAAGAACATTTGCTCACTCACAACCTACAAGAATCACACAACAAAGGGAAGACTAAAGACTGATACTTATCAGTAAATCCATTTAACTCCAGACGCCACCTCAGTCTGATGTACCTAAGCACCCTAATGGCATTTCAATCATAGAGCTAGAAAAGTCATTACAAAGGAAGTGAACTTTTCTGTTGATGTGCCTTTTTTGGTATTAAAAATGTTATTAGCAAGATGGCTTCAGCACATTGGACATAACATGTCCGGATTAGGCACCCATTTTTAGTAGTATTTTTCCCCCTAAATTTTTATCTACCATGGTGAACCCTTCTGATAATAAAATAATTCTGAAATCAATGTGACACAAAAAACCTTCCCGGACGGCACTTCACCACAGTAGCCTTCAGTGAAACTGCAGTGACCAAGTTCTAAAACGCTCAACCAAGCGGGTGCTGTTTCTGTGGGAATTTAGGTGACCATACTCACTCATGCAAAAATCCAAGGTAGTGTAAGAGAAACAATATCGTTAAAATAGATGTTGTGACCATAAGCGTCTCCCTTTATATTACGCATTTAGAAGCTGTTAAAAAACTCTCAGGTGCTAACAGCTGTGGCAGAACTAGGCTGTGTAGTTGCTCCATTGGTAAGCACCTTATTGTTAAGAGTTACAGGACTCTCTAAGGGAGTGTGCTTTTAATTCGAGAGAGAGTAATAAAGTGCCTAGCTGTGTAAAAACCAGAAGAGTCCAAATTTTAAAGTAAGCTAATTGCATTACACATAGGGTCAACAAAATCTAGACCCTGTGTACACAGATTTAATCTGATTCTCCGTACTGCATACTGTTTTAGTAACCACATTAAAAAAAAAAATCACTCTTTACTGACTGAATAAGTAGGGTCCACTACTATAGCTTAACAATCAAATTTTATTGCTTTTCTCATGTGGTGCTTTTGCAAGGCACTGTGGTATGGACTAGAAAACTTGGAATGACTCGTGAAGAAACCTTGGAATGACACAGGAAGGATGATATGAAAGTCATTCGGAGGCAGGAGGCTTTACTGAATTGTTTTTAACCAGGGTATCAAACATCAGGAATGAGTTCAAGTTAAAATTCACAGGAGAATGGAAACATCTTTAGGTCAGTCACTTCACATGCCCATCCTGATACTTTGAATAATCTGGAAAATTGCTGTAAAGAGAAAGAGCAGATATTAAAATAAACTTTCAATAAAATAGGTCTGATAAGTAAAAACACCTATTAGCGTTGTTGGAAGAATCCAATGAGACTTTTACAATTATTTGTATGTGCTATACCTAACTTTATTGCAATAAAAGTGAAGACAGGCCTATCTTGATAAATAAAACTATTAAATGCCCATATGTTATTCTTTTAAAATCTCAGCTTCTCTGAAGTCCAAGTGTTCACGAGAGCTTGCAGAGAGGGAACCACTTTATAAAGTACTTAAAGCATCAAAAGTAAACAGGTTTCTGTAACACAGAATTATTTTGGTTTATCCTTAAATAATTAAGCATCCTTTTACGGCCTGGCTATAATATATGCATATTTCCTCATTCTCACAAAGCTGAAACTCAATAATCCTTTAAGGTTATATAAACTACTTGGCTCTTGGCCATTTATCAGGAAAGCTTCCAATTGGTAGGTTCAGGAGAAAGGCAAAGTGGAATGTTAAACAGAAATCTCCGTGTAACTTCAACATGTGGAAAACAGAAACATCTACTTCAACACTAAAGCTGGCGTATGAAGAGAATAAACGAAGACAAGAAAGATATGCTGCAGTCTGTTTGCAGAGGCAAGTGTCCATCACTATTAACAGCATCAGATTTTCTTACCATATGTCAAAACATTTCTCTCATTAATCCAAACACATTTGTCTTCCATGTTAAATTGCCCATCAGGTATGCTTCCTCTACAGTAAATCAATTCTTTGCACTTGCTCTACTTTATGAAATATATCCAATTTTCACATAAAGACAAGAGACTCCGCTACGTGTTACACCCAGTTCTAATATCCAGGCACATGACGTTCAGAAGCTTCTTTGGAAAGGCACTGATAATGGGGCTGCACAACATTCTAAATTCTCATTCCGAGAGGCAAGTTTGGTTTTTGTTTCGTCTTAAATGTCTTCCAACTTGAACATTACCGCAGATCTGACCTCCTTTCTGATCTCCTCTGCGCACAAATCAAGCTGGGAGAAGTTTCTGGAGCACCACCCTCTGTGCATATGTGGGACAAGTAATTTGGTTCCGATGAAATGGAATTAAGTGGCGCTCTCGGCAGGTGGGTCGGGGCTGGACTCACCGCGGATCCGTCACCACGTCATCCCCAACCCTCCACTCGACGGGAGCCCCCAAAACACTTACCAGAGCCACACACAACAAAAATGAAGAGCGCCAACAACCAGGGTCCTACGGACGCCTTCTCTTCGGGGGCATTTCTCTGCAAAAGGCAAAACCCACCGTTTCACACGCAGAGAACCCACCGCCGGAGCCCGCACCCCCAGGGGGCCAGGCCCTCCCGCAAGTCTCCCCCGCGATCCAAAGACCCCCCGACTTATCGTCCAGCTCGCAGTCTGCGGCCCCCGGGGCCCAGAGGCGGAGACGCAGACGCGGCCCCAGGCCCGGGCCCGAGCCCGAGCCCCAGCTGCGGCACAGGACGGGGCGTCCACTTTCCCCTCACCGAGGTCTTGGCGACGTTGCCGCGCTGGGTGATGTTCTTGCTGTGCTTCTCGTTGGCCATACGGATCCGCTGTTTGGCGACCATCTTCGCGGCGCCAGCACCTGCCCGGCCACCCCTCGGACTCGCTCGCTTCCTTCTCCTCTCAGGCCACGGCCAGGCTCCGCTTCTGGTGGCCGCTCCGCCGGAGCTGGAGGCTCTTGGGCTGGGCGCTAGCTACGGCCGCTGGGCCTGGGCCCGGCGAGCGCGGGAGCTGAGCGCTAGCGGGGCGCGGACCGCCGACTGGCCGGCGGCGCGAGGCGGGCGCGCGAGAGGAAGCGAGCAGGCCGCCAGAACGTTCTTGCGCCGCCGCCGCCTCTCTGGCCGCCCCCGGGAGCGTGGAGAGAAGGCAGGAAGGAAATGCAACGCAACAAGCGAACTGTGCAGCCTGCCGCCTCGAACTACTTCGGGTTCGGGTGCCAACGTCAGCACTAGGCAGGCTCCACCCCGCGGAAGTGCGGGCTCCGCCCGCTGGCGAGGGAGGGCAAAGCAGGCACGCCCGCCCTAGCCCAGCCCTCCCACGTTGTGTAAAAATGTAGCCCCAGAGCTGCGCGTGCGCCTTCGGGTTCTCTTCCGGCTTCGCTCTACAACCGGAAGTTAGTTGGCCCCGAGGCTGGTGGCCCCGGAAACACCAACTCTCGGTCTCCACGCCGGAGGAGACGTGTAGGGGCTGGGTTCGACCCTTGTGAACTTTCACCCTGGCGCGTGGGTTTCTTTTTCCGGGACAAGATGGCGCCGTCCACGCCGCTTTTGACAGGTGGGTTCTGAACGAGCAAAGGACTCTTGCTTAAGAATAATCTCTTTTTGTATCTTTGCCCTTGAAGAGCTACCGTAGGAGCTTTGGAGTCCGGTCTGCCTTCGCCTGTAACTTGCGGAAAAGCCACACTTAATCTTTTGGGTTACAGCATGGCAGTCGGAAGTGAGGCGCCAGCATCCTCCCCGCCCCCCTGTACCCATCCATCATTCTTGCCGTTTCAGTCTTAAGAGATAGGAGGAAGAACCGAAAGCACTAGCTACATTTTTGACCCCTGAGTCTCCAGGAGTGGTGTCACACGGACCCTTGTGAAGTCGTTCAACTCTTAATAAGGACTAGAGGACTAGCATATGACGCATTGGTTTAGGATGACCATTCCATGTTAACTGCACCTGGACTTCAGTAATTCCAAATTCTATGCTCTCTGCAGTAACGAGGTTTGTAGGACTGGATAGGGAAGGTGCACCTGTAGAAGCAGGTTCCAAATGGTAGCGGTGTAGTTTGCAGTCGTAGCATTGAGCGTGATAGAGGGATCTAGCAACATTTGATATTGAAATGGGTATGAGCGTTTTAGAAGTTGAACATTAGTGAACTCCTGAGATTTTGAAGCTGAGACAGAGTGTAGTGTTGGAGAGGATGCTAAACTTGGGCTTGGACAGTGCCTGGAAAGACGCTGAACTCGGAATGGCTGGGAGTAGCCTCAACTAGCATATGAGTATTCTTATAAGACGGGTATTAGGAGGGAAAGGAAGCTTTTGATTAAGTCATGATAACTATGCAGAGGGGAAAAAGGCATTAGGAGAAATGTTGCCTGCTTTTTAGGAGGGGATCCTTTGCCTGGAGACTTGAAACGAATCTTAAGCTTTTGCACTTTCTGCCACGGGTGTTTTAAGATCTTTGTTGTTAAGCAATGTGCCTGCCACAGTTCATTCACCAAACATTTATCAAATGCTGACTATATAATGGAGATACGTATATGTAGATTATGTATTATAATCTAAAGATATATATAGGTTATGCATTAAAATCTAGAGATTGTTTAATTGACATAATCACATAATTAAATGGATTTTTTTCTTTAGCTTGTATGTTTACATTTTTGAATACTAAATGGTCATTTGAAGTCTAATTTAAAAAAATCAGTTCATCTAAAACTTGATAAATTCTTTTAAGATGCTTACAGTGGCTTCTCACTGCTTGCGTAGTCAATTCCGTCTTAGCATATAGAGCCCACTATAATTTTGGAATAGCTCCTGACATTCATTTCTTTCCTGCCAGTCATCTTATTGTGTGTCCCACTAATACTGAACTGCTTAGAAATCCTTTTGAAGAACCTATCTCTTCAGCCCAGGGCTAGCTTATTCCTCTTGTTGATTAGGCAGACGTCTTTGCATCTGTTAAGATTCCTTTCAGACACCATTGCTCCCTGTGAAGCCTTTCCCCACTTTGCAGAATAGAGTCAGGCACTCCCTGGGCTGTTTTTGTAACCCCTGAACACTCAATTCTGACCCCCCCCACACACACACTTATCGTGTAGGGTAATTGTCTAGTTTTTCAGATTTTTTCCTTCCTGCTAGATTGTAAGCCCTTTGATGTCAGGACAGGGTCTTATTCATCCCTGTCTTCTCAGTACCTAGTACAGTACCTGGTAAACTTGGGAACTCTAAATGTTTACTGGAGGAATGGGGTAGGCATTTTACCTAGCAGTTAAGGCACTGACGTCCTATGTCTGACGGGGTTCAAGTTCTGCTTCCATTCCAAATTCTAGCCTTCTGCTAATGTATACTCTGGGAGTCAACAAGTGATGGCTCAAATACTTGGGTCTATGCAACCTACTCACAGATTGAGTTCAGGTTTCAGCATGGCCCAGCCCTGCAGTTTTGGCCATTTAGGGAGGGAACCAGCAGATGAGAGATCTCTGATTCTCTCTGCTTTTCAAATAAAAATTAATATTTTTTTTAATTCATGAAAGATAGTCTCATTATGGTCAAATTAACCAAGGATGACAGGTTTCATACAGTGCTTAAAATTAAGGACTTTGTAAGAGCATAAAGGTTATTTCTTCAGCTTATCCCTTATACTCATATTCTTAGAGGCCCACAGAGATGAACTGATCAGATTCACTTTGTAAATTGCCAGGATCAGGATGTTATTCATATCATCCAACTCTGTAGTACACTTTTCTTTGAATAGAACACATTGCTTAATTTTTTAGACATTCACCGTGTAAGTATTTTATCCAACAGTGGACTTTTTTTTAAATGCCAAATACTTTGGTTAAATTTAGACTCATGAATTTTAGAGCTGTGGATTATCCAGTAAATTTATTAGTCATGACTCTTAATTGAAATGATGAAAAGCCAAAACGAATGAAAAATGGGATTTTTCTTTTTATTAAACTCTGTGGCCTGAAAGCTTTAGTACTGTATGTGCTTCCTTCCCTCTCTGTTAAATTCATTCTCAGACCAACAGTAAGCCACCTCAGCAGCTCTGGAGAAAGACCAGTTTGGCCAGTAGTCCCAGCATCTCAGGGAAGGCTGTCTTTGACGTGGTTCGGCTCCTGCTCATCTTTGCAACTTTGGATCAGGTGGTCAGGGCCAAATTGTATTCTCACCCCTGGATAGTCTTACAAAAAATAAACCAAAAAACCTAATGTCTCCTAAAAAAAAAAGGCTGAATGCTGTGTAGATAAACCAATAATATCCATAACATGAAATCATGTCTAATCAGCTTGCCTAGTTGAGGTCATTGAGTCATTTTTCCTAAACTGATACATGCTACTGAGCACATATAAGGGTTGGGAAAAGTATCATGTTTTAATGATCACTATAGGGCCGACGCGGTGGCCCAGTAGGTTAATCCTCTGCTTGCGGTGCTGGCATCCCATATGGGTGCCGGTTCTAGTCCTTGCTGCTCCTTTTCCAATCCAGTTCTCTGCTATGGCCTGGGAAAGCAGTGGAAGATGACCCAAGTCTTTGGGCTCCTGCATCCATGTGGGAGACCAGAAGAAGCTCCTGGCTCCTGGCTTTGGACTGGTGCAGCTCCGGCCGTTGTGGCCTTTTAGGGAATGAACCAACGGATGGAAGACCTTTCTGTCTGTCTCCCCCCTCACTGTCTGTAACTCTCTCTCTCAAATAAATAAATAAAATCTTTAAAAAAAATCACTATATCCCTGATACAGGATATTGAATCCAAGAGTTTTTCTCATTCTAACTCGAGCCTAAAGAAAAAACAAAAAAGTATATGATTCCTAAAGTGGCTAGTAAGGAAAAGATGTTCTGTAAATACAATATTTAATGGAATTGCTATTTTTATTATTATTATTTTTTATTTTATTTTTTTTGACAGGCAGAGTGGACAGTGAGAGAGAGAGACAGAGAAAGGTCTCCCTTTTATCATTGGTTCACGCTCCAATGGCCGCCGCGGCCGGCGCGCTGCGGCTGGCGCACTGCGCTGATCCGGAGCCAGGAGCCAGGTGCTTCTGGTCTCCCGTGGGGTGCAGGGCCCAAGTACTTGGGCCATCCTCCACTGCACTCCCTGGCCACAGCAGAGAGCTGGCCTGGAAGAGGGGCAACCGGGACAGAATCCGGTGCCCCGACGGGGACTAGAACCCGGTGTGCCGGCGCTGCAAGGCGGAGGATTAGCCTAGTGAGCCACAGCGCCGGCCTGGAATTGCTATTTTAAAGTTACTGGGCGAACCTTTGGCATTTATTTGTTGTTTTAATGAAAGAACTTTATATTCTAGATTTTTTGTCTCTGATAGAACATATCACTGATGCCTTTTGATTAAAAGAGGAAATCACTAAAAACAAGGCATCACACCAGGTCTGAATACACTCTATCAGGAAAACTTCACATTCTGTTTGCTGTTTCTGATTCAGATGCTTCTAATTAAAATGAAGTTCTCATTAAAATTGTATGTTAAAAAAATTCACTTATTGCAACAAGTTTGTTTTGAGCCCATATTTGCTTTTGGTTTTGTTAATTTATAGAACAGTGTATGTTCTCTTATGGACTTGATTTTATGTTTTGCTTACGAAACTTAATATATCCAGTAAAAATTTCTATAAGGAAGTTGTGCAAACCGATTGAATCCAATAAAGTATCTTAGAGGTACAAAATGTTCTGCAATATAGCCGGCGCCGTGGTTCAATAGGTTAATCTTCCACCTAGTGGCGCCAGCACACCAGGTTCTAGTCCTGGTCAGGGCACTGGATTCTGTCCCGGTTGCCCCCCTTCCAGGCCAGCTCTCTGCTGTGGCCAGGGAGTGCAGTGGAGGATGGCCCAAGTGCTTGGGCCCTGCACCCCATGGAAGACCAGGAGAAGTACCTGGCTTCTGCCATCGGATAAGCGCGGTGCGCTGGCCGCGGCAGCCATTGGAGGGTGAACCAACGGCAAAGGAAGACCTTTCTCTCTGTCTCTCTCTCACTGTCCACTCTGCCTGTCAAAAAAAAAAAAAAAAAGTTCTGCAATACTTTCCCCTAGATTGGCTTCTAGATAGGGAGTTGTGAAATCAAATAATTGTTTTAAATAGTGGTTACATGTATAAACAAAACTGTAATGGTTTTTATGATAAATTCAATTGATAATTCAATTGATTCCACTAAGGCCAGATGTATCTATCATGAAGCATCAT